CAGCGCTCTGAAGGTGGTGCACACCCTCAGTCCCAGCGCTCTGAAGGCAGAGGATCTCTCTGAAGTCAAAGCCAGCCTGGTCTACAGCATGAGTTCCAGGCCAGCCAAGGCTACGCAGTGAGTCTACCTCAAAAAGGAAAGGAAAGGAAGGGATGGGGATTTCAAAGCAAGTCAGCTTTCCAAATTACACTTTGGCCAAGGTAATGATGTCATTAATTTGCAAACTCTATGCCCTTGGCAAGAAAATGGAAGCCATCCTGAAACAAAATATTTGCCAATGACAAACCAGATCCCTGAAGGCCAATGACAAACCAGATCCCTGAAGGTTGCTTTCTCTGGTACCACATCAGCCAAGTCCACGGTTCCCCAAGCAGCTGTCACCTTCATCCTCTCTCAGCTGAGGGACTGGCCTGGGCCACCACCACACAGTGCCCTCCTCCTACCAAAGATGGTTTTACAGCGTGCCCGTCCTCCTCCTCTGCATCTGTTCAAGGCCCAGACCCAGTTCTTCTCAAAGTCAGCCCCAGTGAAACCAGTTTATGATAAGAAAGGAACAAAGCCAGGCTTAGTTTTAGGCAGCGCTCCTGGACCGAGAGTGGTGGCTGTGGTCTGGAAACTCGTCCTGGCTCTGCAGACTTCAAAACTCAGTGAACCGAGCCTGCCCGGGCCAGTCAGGGAAGGAAGAGAGAAAAAAAAGAGGAGAGAAGGTTAGATGTGTCTGTCCTTAGCATCTGAATTTACTCAGAGCTGACCCAGGAACCGAAGCACTTTAAGGAGCATTGTGACCAGTGTCCTAAGCCACACGAGACAGCGCCCAGTGATGCTGAGGCTTAATTGGCAAGGTGCCGAGGACTAGGGGGTTTATTGAGAGGATTAGCCTTGATCGGGGGGGTTCTGTTGCTGTGATGAAGCACCAGGAACGCCAGGGTTTGTTTCGTTTACCCGTCCAGGTTGCAGTCTGTCACTGTAGGAAGGCAGAGCAGGAACCTGAGGGGAACGCAAACAGAAGCCCGGAGCGCTTTTTACTGGCTTGTTCCTCCTGGCTTCTCCAGCCCGCTTTCTCATAGCATGCCCATAGTACCAGTCACAGGGAGTTGGGCCTTCCCACATCAATCATCAACCAAGAAAATGTCCTCAGCCAATCTGGCGTTTTCTCAGCTGAGGTTCCCTCTTCCTGAATGACTCTGTGTCAAGCTAACATAACGCTAGCCAGGCATCCCAGAGTCTGGGGGAAGGCTGACCTTCATCTGGGGCCTGACTGGGGATGGTGGGCTGAGGAATGAAGGCGGTGGGGAGGCACCTATGCTTATGGACAAAGTTTAGATGTGACTCTGAGGTGGCGAGTGTCAGAAATAAGGTAGAGACCCAGGTGATAGGGACACTTCAAAACCTGGCCCAGGGCCTCATTCATTGCAGGTGATTTCATTAACTAGTCCTTCCTTTCTCTCCTACTGCCAAATGCTTACAAATCCCTAGTCCCTGCAGCCCGTGCTGCCTGCAAAACAGAGTGTGAACATCTTGATAGTTCACAGGTCAGTTAGAACCCCACATAGAAACACCACTGATGCCCTGAGAGGGGACAGGGCCATCTGTTGTGATGTCACCGGGAGTTGCAGAGGCAGCAAGGCCTCACCTCAGGGTATGCTCCTGGAGGCAGCAGCTAGGATGAGCCTGGACAGTCAGGTCTCAGAGGTGCTGAACAGGGCAGGTGGCTCCATCCTGGGTGACTGGCAAATTTGAGATGGGGAAGCAAAACCCAGGGATACCAAGAGTGCTGAGGAGCAGGAAGGAAAGACCTAGAACCTGTAAGAGGATGAGCCCAAAGCTAGCTCCCTTCCCACACATACTGGTGGTTCAAGTCAGAGTGGATTGTAATTCTAATCAGCTGGGGCCGGTCAGCAGAGAGTCTCTGCGTGGTCGTCCGGGACCCAGGCTGCTCCTTGCCTGGGGCACCATGATCTTACACGCCCCCCCCCCCCTCCCCCCGGCCGGGCGGACTGTCCCGACTGTTGCTGTTGACAGGTGCAAGGGAGGCAGCCAGAGGAAGGACACGCCCACACCCCACGGACAAGAGTCATGAGACCCTGCCTGGATGCCAAGGAGCTGACACAGGCCGGGAGGGAGGAGAGTGATTCACTTCAGAGTCAGAAGTCTGCCCTGACTTCTCCATCAAGGTTTTCCAACTTGTATTTTTCCTCTGTTCTCCCCCACACCACACCTCTTCCTCCTCTCTTTCCTGGTCTGTGATTTCTTCTTTTTCATTTCTTATTCATATTCTTCTGAAGGATGCTTTGGTCTGCAAGTCTTCTCTCCATACTCACTGGCTGGGATGCACTCCCCAGTGCCACGATTCTCAAAGGTGGGGCCTTTAGTAAATGATCAGTGCCCCTTTAAAGGGCAGGAGCAGGACTGTGGGGGAGGCCCTGGTGGGACGGCTCCATGGGTAAAGGTGCTCACCATGCAAGCCTGGTGAGTTAAATTGGAAGGAGAGAGTTTGCCTTTGACCTCCCCGTGCCTCGTGGCACGCTCCCCATCATGCACACACACTGGCACGAAAAGGCTGGCGGTGTGCCTATAACCTCAGCATTTGGATGAGAAGTTTTCGGTCATCCTTGGCTACACCATGCACTGAAAACCAGCCTAGAGGGGCTTACTTGCCCTCCTCCCTGGGAGCACACACAGCATCATTTATGAAGAACCGACTTCGCCAGACAGAATCTGATAGCACTTTGATCCAGCTTCTAGAATTATGAGCAATAAATTTCTATTTATGAGGAAACTTATCCAAAGAAGAAATGGTTTTGATGAGAGCCCAGCCTGTCTTTACAATGGCCTCCCTCTCCATTACCGTCATGTCGATATAATACCTGACATGAGGAGATGAAGAAGGAGGGTAAGCAGGGCATGAGGGGAGGCGGGGCCTGCGCTCCCTCCGGGCAGCTTCTGACTAGGCTTCCTCTAGCTAAATCCTCACACACAGTAGGCTGCCGACCTCAGTCATCTATGAGATCCTAACGAGGTCCCAAAGATAGGTGACATGAACAGCATTGCAGGAATACCTCTCCTGGGAGGCCCAAACCTGTAGGGTCCCGGCTGCAAACCAAGGCAGGATGCCACCAGAGTTCACCCTGGGAACCCAAGAGTTTATTGGGCTCACTATGGAGAGCATGGTGAGGGGTTATAGTCACGAGTGTGGGTGACCCCCAAGCAGCCATGCTAACTAGAAAGTGTCAACCCCAGCCTGGTCTACAGAGTGGGTTTCAGGACAGGCTCCAAAGCTACACAGAGAAACCCTGTCTCAGGGGTGGGCGGGGGAGAAAAAGGAGGTGTTAATCCAGCATGGCTGGTGGGGTTCCTCTAGTTAACTTCCTCTAGCCTACACACTCTAGTATCCCCTGAGACCCTAAGGATTTGCAGAATTGCAGAATTGAGGACAGCAGTGTTTACAACTGCCTGGTAGAAACAGGAGGGAGTCTTGGCACCCCAGGGGAGGGCTCAGTGGCCCCACCCCTGCTTCTCTAACCCAGAGGATCCCTTTAAAGCAGGCAGGGCTGTTTCTGCACAGAGGATCAAACTTTGCCCCAAAGGGCAAACCTAGGTCACCCCAACTCACACAGCAACCTGCTTCTCCCCCCTCCCCACCCCTCTGCCGACAAGGAGCAGGGTATTCTCAGAGATACATCTCCAGCTCTGTCCCTCTGCTGTCCCCCGGGTGATTAAAGAGGAGGTGGAGGAGCGGAGTGCCATTACAGCTTTTTCATAATGCGGTGTTGTCAGAGAGCCCTGGGCCTCTGGGCACGGCTCTGGCAGCCTCATCTCTCTTCCTGGCTGCCGAGGCTCCTAGGCTACTCAGGGAAGGGCAGGCTGCAGGCTAGTGAAAGGAATGTCCCGGCAAGACAGCTAGCTCATCAACCGCTCCTCACAATGATCTAAACATCTTCCTTTGAATTTAAATCTGCGCCCTCGGTGGCCAGATACATAAAGCAGAAGATGAGAGAAAGAGAGCCGAAAAGAGCACTTAGGTGCCAAGAACTAGAAGGGAGGGAGGGGCAGGAGGGCTGCACTGGGATTGCTGAGTGAGCTCCCACCAGACCCCAGCCTCCTCCTGGCTGCTCTGCACCTCTCACCCCTTCCTCCATGGCTAAGCTGTCCGGAAATGAGGAGAAAGTTCGAGAGCCTACCTAAGAACAAACTCAATAGTCCTCCTCCTCCCGATTCCCAAGGAGCCTCCCTCAGAACAGCGTCGTAGGGGGCCGGCCACAGTCTGGTTTTCTCTTCCGTCCCATTTGCTCCACATGCTTCATTATCACAGTTGCTGGGAGC